CTACCTTTTTCAAAATACATTATTTTTTCCATACACCGATAACATTGGATTACATATACGCTTAACTTTAAACAGATACGTCTACCGTAATTATAAATGTTAAAACATAAAACTACGACATGCCACAGACACACAGCGTTTAAAACACACTCTGCGCTTCTGCACCAAAATTAATTTTGACCACTTGCACGTGATTTACTGCTGCCAAATCCTTATCGGCTGCATTGCAAAAACTTTAAAATGAGATCTCACACCGTAGAACTTCTTAATATACGCAACCCAAGTAAACCCTTCCCAACTGTAACTGATCTGCCATTTTTAGCTGTACCTACATTTCCATCCACCTGCTTACATTTATACTTATGTCACCTTCACTTTCAATACAAAGCTGTCACCATATGCACATGTAGAGTTTTGAAAACAGTGGAAACTAAACATTTCAGTTTATGGCTGAGTTAGAGGTCCCAGCCTCCTCACGCTGCTTAATAATAGTGATCAAGCAGTTCTCATTAAAAAAAACTGAAAACTCTCCAAAGGTAATAAAGTGCTCTTCCATGTCCTCGACATCTTTGGTGCACAAATCATTCTCTTTGACATATGTATCAATTGCAGAATTACTCGTCGTCAAAGTATGTTCCTTCCCATCACAAGACAGGCACAATGTGCCGGAATATGTTGGCAAGTAGGACGGCGATTTGTGCATGAATTTGCATCCTACACATCTGTGTACTGCCGCTTTTCCATGCAAATCTTGTGTGGCCTTGTGTCATGCCCCGATCGTCCGCTCCTCTTGTGTGCCACGCCCCCTCATTTATCGCATGTGGATTCCCCGTGTTTACCAGCTGTTCCTGATCATTGTCAATTAGTTCATTGTATTTAGTCCGCATTTCCGTTTGTTTCCCCAGTTCAGTCATTGTAATGTTATTCCGTGTTTTTGTATGCTCCTTTTGTCACTATTCCTATTAAACCCCGTTTCTGCCCCGACTTTTGCTTCCTGCACTGTGTCAACGCTCCATGCGTCGTCCAAGCATGACAGAATGACTGGACTCTGCAGAAAGACGCCTCACCTCACGGAGGACGAATATCTCCAACTAACCGACGAGGTACTTTATTGGCTCCAGCAGCCAGAGGTAAGGGAGGACCCAGCTTCCAGAGCCCTTGCTTTCCGTTCCCGGGACGTCTTAGAAGGGATCTCCCCACCGGATGACGCAAGCCGGGCGGAAGCAGCGCGGCAGTACCTCGCACAACTCAGAAGCAGGGCAGCGGAGAGCATGAACAGGCAGGTGTACTTGGACTGCGGAGGGCTTCTTCTTTTGCCGTCTGAGCAGTCCAAAGTCCCTGCTGTCTCTGCCCCATGAAAGACACGGAAGCGTCGCAAACGGATGGGCGTGTCCGATGACCTTCTGGGCTCTCCTGCTTCGCCGATGACACTCGAAGCCCATCCGCCCCCCGCTTTGCTTCCCAAGCTGTCGGCTGCTGGTCCTTTCCGCGGGACACGCCTGGTCCTTATAGGGGCCAGGTCCATAACGGACGCTATCCCACGGGTTCCGCGGTTCCAGAATCGAGCAGCGCCCCCCGTGTTTCCTGAGGCTGCAGCGCCCCCCGTGTTTCCTGAGTTCCTGTGATGCCTGCCTTGCCCCCCGAGGTTCCTGCGGCACCTGCTCCAGCTGCACCGCCCCACGTTGGCCCGGAATCGGCAGCTGCTGCAGCGCCTGAGGCCCCTGCTGCTGCGGTTGCTGTAGCACCCGAGGCTGTGCTCCCGATGACTACAGTGCTCCGAGTGGCTCCTTTGCCCCCTGCAGGTCCCGCTTTGTCGCCCGAGGTCCTGGCAGCGCTGCCTCCTGCTTTGTTGGCCCCAGAGGCCCCCGCACCACCCCCTGCTGGTACTGAGTCGCCTATGCTGGTAGCTGCGCCCCCTATGGTTTCCATGCTGGCTGTTCCCACAGAAATCCCAGACGTTCCTGTGCCTCTTGCTGCGGCAGCTTTGCCCCCTGTGGTCCCCGTGCCTGTGGCTGCGCACCCAGCGGCGCCCCCCCGAGGCTCTTGCGGCGCCCCCTGAGGCTCCTGCTGCTCCCGCGGCGTTCCCCGAGGTGCCTGCAGCGCCCCCTGTTGGTCCGGAGCCTGTGGTGCCTGCTGCACCCCCCGAGGCTCCGGAGGCGCCTGCTCCAACTGTACTACCCCCTGCTGGGCCGGAGTTGGCGCCCCCTGTGCTCCCCGTGACGTGCCCTTAGATCCCTTGGCCCCTGTGTTCACTCCCCGTCCTGTGCCATCGTTGTTCCCTTCTAATTCCTTTGTGCCTTCCATGTTTGCTCCTCGTCCCTTCGTGCCATTGCTCCCCTCTGGTCCCTTTGTGCCCCCTGTGGTTTCCCCTCGTCCCTCGGTGTCCTCTAGTCCCCTTGTGGCCCCCACGTTTTCTCCTCGTCCTTCTGTGGCTTTGTCCCCTTTTGCTTCCTTTGTGCCTCCTGTGTGTCTTTCCCATCCATTTGTGCCCACGCCCCCTGTTCGTCCCTGTGTGCCCCCTGGTGTGGTCCCTCCATTGTCCCCTTTGGTGTCCCCAGGTCCCATGTTTCCGTCGTTGGTGTCTGTGTTTGTCTGCGTTTCCCGTGGTTTGTGGCTTATTGTTTGAGTTGTCCGCTTTGTGCCAGTTCTGTATGTCCTTACTGTTCCCTGTGTCCGTTGAAGTTATTGTTCTTTTTTGTCTCTCCAGGTCCCATGTCCCCGGTCTCGTCTTGTCCGTCGCCTCCCCTGGGGCGCGCCCGGAGTGCACGTCTTTGTGGGGGGGTCATGTCATGCCCCGATTGTCCGCTCCTCTCGTGTGCCACGCCCCCTCATTAACCGCATGTGGATTTCTCGTGTTTACCAGCTGTTCCTGATCGTTGTCAATTAGTCCATTGTATTTAGTCCGCGTTTCCGTTTGTTTCCCTAGTCCGGTAATTGTAATGTTATTCCGTGTTTTTATGCTCCTTTTGTCGCTATTCCTATTAAACCCCATTTCTGCCCCGACTTTTGCTTCCTGAACTATGTCAACGCTCCATGCGTCGTCCAAGCGTGACACCTTGCATTTCTGACACCGGCGTTTGCAAGTAATTTGGACTGCTGTCACAGTCCCTGAAAGTTCCAGTACTTTCTCGCCCTCATCAATTTTGCCGAAATCACCTACGGGCCACATTATTAATATGATAGTAGAAGGACTACCTGTCAGGTAAATATGTCTGTCCGTCTCCCTAGTCGACAGATTTCTGAAATATTTACATTGTGTCTCTTTAATTAAAGTTTCGCAGCGTAATATCAAATATTTTAATGCTCTTCTTCAGACTGGAAGAGATGAATTTCACAAGGCGGTGCGCTTTTCGCTGGAGAAGTACCATTATTTTGTCCAAGCGTCAAAGAACTCAACTGCAGTGAAGTTGAGCAATGTGAAGAGAAGCGTCAGTAAGTTGTAATTTTTTTAACATGAAAGTTAATGCCATAGGCGATTGTAATTCTCAACAAGTGGTTATTTTGCCTAAATTAGTGTGATGTTTACTGACTGATGTTTTTATTTTTCAGGTTTCTCGGATCCTGAAGGATCGTGTTACGACTGGCGGGCGGGCGAGTAGAGAAGCAGGCGAGAGAAGCCACATGACCGGGTAAACAGGGTTTTAATTGGACTTGGAAGGCAGACACTCACGAAACGCATAACAATACAATGACGGATCTGGGGAAGACTGACTCAGACGAGGACTAAATACAAAAGACAAGCTAGACATAACAGGACTCAGGTGATCACAATCAGGGCTGAACACGAGGTAACGAGGTGGGCATGGCACACATTGGGATCGAACGGAGCGGATCGTGACAGATTGGATATTCTATGTAACAAAAGTACAACACTGTAAACCATAATGCTGTCTTTACTTATACAATCAAGTAATGTTGACTAAACATTACTTAAAATTTTGCATTTTCGACCTATCACTTAAAAATATGAGTTAATTTAACTTATTTACCATCAAAATGCATAAACTTAAGATTTCAAGTGTTGTGAGCTCAAAATCATGATTAATCCTTTGAAAAAAAATCATTTTCAAAAGGTAATTTTCACAAATGTACTCCTCTTGATTGTAAAATTTTAATACCATGTGCAAGGTGTTTTCTCTCTTTTTTAAATCAGAAAACAAATGGCTTCAGATACAAGTATTCACCATAATGGGAATAAATTTAGGCTACTTATTTTTTATTTGGGATTTTTTGTTGACAAATTAACTTTAACCCATATACAAAGGTTTACATATATATATACAGTATACTGGTGCCTCACCCATTTCAATCAGACAGCTATATCTCAGGGATGCTTCAGCCAATCATTACCAAATTTGTCTGACTAATGTAGGGCTGTACCCCAGAGAGAGCCTCCTCATTTCGTGTTGATCGGTCCAACGGGAGCCCTATGGCCACTGTTTACATATATCCAAAATCCACCTAGGCTAATTCAGCTAAAATGAGTTACCAGATCAGGTAGGAAGGTCTCTACTGATCTTACGCATCTTACCCCCAGCAGCAGGTGGTTCAGTGGGTTAATCCTGTGTGCATGTAATCAGAGGGTTGCCGTTTCGAACTCAGCTTTGGTGGGTACGTGAGCCAGGCGTTCCAACAGATGTCTGTTTTCCGTGCATAGCATACTCTGTAAAGCAAGTTCAGAGAGATGTAAAGGCATTTTCCCCACGAGGACAAGTGAAGTACCTTTATTATTTTTCTTCCCTAGAACTTAACCCCTTGGGGTCGGCGGATCGGACAGAAATTTCGCCAAACCGTTTAAATAACTCTGCGAGTTTTTGTCATATACATATTTTAAAAACACCCTCAGAAACCTTGGACGGTCTACTTTTCAAATATATATAGGTAGAAACTAAATATATTTTTACAGCTTTGTGATACGAATAAAAAGAACAAGAGTGACTGACTCAAGCGTCTGCATCTTGAAGCAGCTCTGATCGCCCGCCCACTTGCAAATCGCGCTATTCTCATGATAACGACATTATAATCCGACAGTTAGTATTGGGTAAAGAAATGTGTGTATACGCCCCTTGTGACTCGTATAAACAAGGGCACATGTCTGGGTAGTTCACTGATCTGCTACAACATGGCACACGTGCACTTCTCTGCTGCGGAAGCTTTGCGCCAGGTTCAGGAAAGCCTTGAACTGGAGAGCGATGAAAACGACAACTTCTCCTCGGATGAAAACAGTGAGGACAGCGAGGAAGAACGTTGCCACTTTGAGCAGCAACTCGATGCCGTGGAAGACAATTCTGATGAGTAAGTTAAATTCACTTTGTGAATTATTTTAATAATAGTGAATTATTTTACTTTATTAACTCTGCATAGGCACTGTGTCATATTTATCGCTTTCTATAGCGACTGCTCACAGTTTATCATTTTTCATTTTACAGAGACACAGAGAACATTCCTGTGACTAAGAAACCACGTTGTCAACTAAATCAGACACCACTGTCATGGAAGGGAGAAAGCGATGGCGATGTGGCTCCATCGCCGCTGCGGTTTCGTCCTGCTAGGGAGCCTGGCGTACAGCTAAACAGAAGCGACAGTTACACTCCTGCAAGTCTCTTCAAGTTGTTCTTTTCGGAGGATGCCGTGAACACCCTCTGCCAGAACACTAACAAACAGGCTGCCAGGAATGTTGCAAGAGGGACAAAGTACAGATGGGTGGACATTGGAGTCGCTGAGTTCTACAAATACATTGGACTGATATTCTACATGGCCATGATGAAGTTGGGTCATGTAAGAGACTACTGGCGGAGAAACAACATCTTTTCCGTTCCTTTCCCGTCACTGGTAAGTTCACACGTCATTTACTTATTCTGTATTGTTATTTTATTTCATTTACTGACTTATTTTGCGATATGACATTACATTGTATTTCATTTTATGTCTTGCGTAAATCTTTATGTAGAATCTGTCTTCCATTGTCGGAAGTATTCAAGTTTTTGAAATCAGGTCAAACCGGCAAAAAATAAATCATGTCACCTTTCTTTGTTTTACCGCTCTCACCCGAAGATCACTATTCACATTATAAATAGCCGCATTAGCGTGTATTCAGATCGCATTCGCATGGTAATTTGCTGAACAATGCACCGGAGAAACACGGTCCACATACATCCCCAGCAGCGCCATAAAAGGGGGGGGGGAATTGTTCAGGTGTGAATGGCTTATGCATACACACAATAGCTCCTACATATTGAATGGAAGGAGGCCAGAAATAGTGACATGAGTTAGTTTTTTCTTATTTATTTATCCAACTGAATGTTGCAACGACACCATTTATTCATCTTCATGTACCTAAGACTTCGATGATCGCATATTATAAACTTGTTCTCCATTTTGTTCTTGTTACAGGTGATGTCGAGGGACAGGTACCGGACAATATCCTGGAATGTTCACTTGAGCGACCCAGATGAGGACAGACAGAATGATGCCAAGAAGGGAACCTCAGATCACGACAGACTGTTCCGGATCAAGCCCCTCATGTACACTATTCAGAATGCCTCTAAGGCATTCTATCATCCTCACAGATGTCTTGCTGTGGATGAATGGATGGTGCCTCGCAAAGGACATACTGGCATGACACAGTACATGAGGAACAAACCGATCAAGTGGGGTTTCAAGCTGTATGTGCTCGCAGATTCCAGCAATGGGTATACTGTGGACTTCTCAGTATACACTGGAAAGAACAACTTCCCCACTGGCCAGGGACTTATGACTCTGTCATGTCACTGACCGATAGATGTTTTTTGGGGTCTGGGTACCATGTATATATGGACAACTTCTACACAAGTCCAAAACTTTTCAAGGACTTATATGCGTCTAAGTTTGGTGCTTGTGGAACTTATAGAGAGTTTAGGAAGGACTGTCCACGTAGTGCCATCAATGCACTAACAAAGAAGTCGCCCAGAGGGATGTACCGCTGGATAAGGGACGGGCCTCTTCTCTTTGTGAAGTGGAAGGACACAAGAGAGGTGTCCGTCTGCTCCACCATTCATAACGCCTATGCTGGGGATACGGTACAAAGGAAAGTTAAATCCAAGCAGGGTGTCATCCAGTTAAAT